TGCTCTAACTACGAAAATATTTGATTTACAAATAAGGAACCCTACTTCGCGGAATTTCATTTAATCACGGTAGGGTCTAGAACCGATTAACCGCGATAAATGAGGGTTCACTGTATTTGTTTGTTCTTTTGGCAGGACTTTCAATATTCAATCACTGTAATTCAAATGCATCCATTCTTCTGTGGTCTTCCTTATCAATGTCCAACTTTCACATGCAAATGAGGCAATTAAAATACCATGGGTAGGGGCAGGAGCACCTTAGTCCTCAAAGTAACATCCTTTCTTTCCAACACTTTAAAGAGGTCTTATGCAGCCGATTTACCCAATGTAATGCACCGCTGGATCTCTTGCCTACTGAATCCATGATCACTGATTATGCATCCAATCAAGATGAAATCCTTCACAACTTCAATCTTTGATCCATTTATCATGCCATGATCCTGGTCCAATTGTGAGGATTTGGGTTTTATTTACATTGAGTTGTAATCCATACTGAAGGCTACACTCCTTGCTCTTCAACAGCAAGTTCTCCAAGTCCTCCCCATTTTCAGCAAGTCAAGTCAAACCATTTGCATATGGCAGGTTGTAATGAACCTCTCTCCAGTCCTGATACCACATTCTTCGTCATGTGATCCAGCTTCTCTGTTTACTTTTTATGCATACAGATTGAATAAGCATGATGAGAGCATACAACTTCGACTCACACTTTTCCCGATTTTAAACCATGTTGTATGCACGTGTTCTGTTTGCACAACGATCTCTTGATCAATGTACAGATTCCACATGAGCACAATGAAGTGTCTGGAATTTGCATTCTTCTCAAGGTGTGTTAGTCCGGGTAGACTAGAGAAACAAATCCAGGGAGACTCAGGTGTGTAAGAGAGAACTTTATATCACAGAGTAATTGTATATTAAGAAAACATCCCAGCCCAGTACAGATCAAGTCCGTAAGTCTGATATTAACCTACATGTCCGATACCAGTCTGTAAATTCCTCTTTAGACCCATGCAACACATTCAATGACACAGAATACATGAAGATCATAGGCCAGTGGGTGGAAGGAAAGTCTTATGGATCCAGTGGCAGTGGAAGCATCTCAGCACTGGCAGGGGTCTCTACATGACTCCTCCAGCTCCAGGGCTCTAGTGTTGTTCCATGTGACTTGTCAACAGAAAGACGACTCAGAGAGTGTGTGTGTATCTGGCCATCGGGGAGCTATTTATCTCTATGGCACCTCCAAATGAGGTCATCAAGCTGTGATCTGATTGACAGCCTAGATTTCACCCCTTAGCAAGTTGACAGGTTAACTGCCATCCAAGGCTATTCAAAACTTGTCATAATCACACAGTCAAATATCTTTGCATAATCAATAAAACACAAGTAAAACACAAGTAAACATCTTTCTAGTATTTTCTGCTTTCGACCAAGATACATCTGACATCAATAACGATATACTTTGTTCCAATCCTCTTCTTCATCCATCATGAGTTTCTAGCAGCTCCCGGTCAAAGTACTGCTGGAAACATCATTGAATGATATTCACCAAAATTTTACTTGTGCGTGATAACAAGGATATTGTTTTAAAATCTGCACACTCTATTGCCTCACCTTTCTTTGGAATTGGCACAAATATGGATCTCTTCCAGTCAGTTGGCCAGCGAGATGTCTTTATAATTCCTTGGCTTGAGTGAGTGCTTCCAGTGCGTCATCAGCATGTTGAAACATCTCATTTGGTATTCCATTAATTCTTTTTTCTATTCCATCAACTTCTTCCGTAAGTACCCCCCATTTTTTAATCATATACTACCTCTTGAAATGATTGAATGTCAATGATTGTTTTTTAGTACAGTGATTCTATATTCTTTCCACATTATTTTGATGCTTCATACATTATATGATATTTTGCCCATAGAATCTTTCAATATTGCAACTTCAGGCTTGATATTTTTCTTCAGTTCATTCAGTTTAAGGTGAGCATGCTGGGCGTGGTCTTCCTTGTTGGTTTTCTAACTCTAGGTCTTCATTATAGCAGTTTACTTTATCTTCTTGAGCTGCCCTTTGAAATTTTCTGTTTAGCTCTTTTACATCATCCTTCCCCCTCCCTTACCTTGGCTACTGTAGTATCAAGAGCAAATTTCATTATTTCCTTTTTAAAAAAATCATTTTATTAGGGGCTCATATAACTCTTATCACAATCCATACACACATCAATTGTGTAAAGCGCATTTGTACATTCATTGCCCTCATCATTCTCAGAACATTTCCTCTCCACTTAAACCCCGGCATTAGGTCCTCATTTTTCCCCTCCCTCCCTGCTCCCCCATCCCTAATGAGCCCTTGATAATTTTTTTTTAACATTTTATTAGGGGCTCATACAACTCTTATCACAATCATACACACATCAATTGTGCAAAGCGCATTTGTACTTCATTCTCAAAACATTTTCTCTCCACTTAAACCCCCGACATTAGGTCCTCATTTTTCCCCTCCCTCCCCGCTCCCCCCTCCCTCATGAGCCCTTGATAGTTTATAAATGGGTATTTTGTCATATCTTGCCCAGTCCGACGTCTCCCCTCACCCCCTTTTCTGTTGTCTGTCCCAAGGGGAGGAGGTCACATATAGTCCCTTGTAATCGGTTCCCTCCTTCCTACCCACACTCCCTACCCCCTCCCTGTTTCGCCACTAACACCACTGGTCCTGTAGGGCTCATCCGCCCTAGATTCCCTGGATTTTCAGTTCCTATCTGTACCAGTATACCTCCTCGGGTCTAGCCAGACTTGCAAGGTCGAGAGCTCTTGATAATTTATAAATTATTATTTTGTCAAATCTTGCTCTGTCCGACGTCTCCCTTCACCTACTTTTTGGTTGTCCGGCCCCCAGGGAGGAGGTCACATACAGTTCCTTGTAATTGGTTCCCTCTTTCCTACCCACTCTCCCTCCACCCTCCCTGTATCACCACTCACACCACTGGTCCTGTAGGGATCATCCACCCTGGGTTCCATGTATTTCCAGTTCCTATCTGTACCAGTGTACATCCTCTAGTCTAGCCAGACTTGCAAGGTAGAATTCGTGTCATGATAGTGGGAGTGGCGAGGAAACACTTAGGAACTAGAGGAAAGTTGTATTTTTCATTGTTGTTACATCGCACCCTGACTGGCTCGTCTCCTCCCCGAAACCCCTCTGCAAGGGGATCTCCAGTGGCCTACTAATGGGCTTTGGGTCTCCACTCCGCACTACCCCCATCATTCACTATGCTAAGATACTTCGTTCTCATTATTTCCTTTTGACATTCACTTTGATCTTTTCTTTCTTCCTTTCTTCCTTCCTTCCTTTCTTTCTTTCTGTCTGTCTGTCTCAATGTGTTCAATGCATCAAATCTGTTCTTTCCATGTTCTCAAAATTTAGATGGGATATACTCAAGGTGATATATTGGATCTCGTGGACTTGTTTAAACTTTTTTCAGCTTCAAACTGAGCTTACATGTGAGCAATTGATGGTCTGTGCCACAGTCAGCCCATAGTCTGGGGTTGCTGCTGACATGGAACTCTCCATTCTCTTCCCACAGGTGGGGTCCATTCGATCTCTGTGTCTCCATCTGGAGAATTCTACATGTATG